TTGAGGGAGACTTTCATTATTGGGTCAATGAATTACCAACATTTGGCAGCACTGTGTTTCACTGTCTGCTTCCCCTGTTTCTCAGTATACAAACACATACACTCACAGTATCTGATCTGTGAATGCAAGGAGCTTAAGAAAAAAATGTTCTTGGAAACCATCAATCAAGAGGAAAATTGGAAAATGGTTTAATAAAAGACCTGCATAAATCTTTTAGCTTTATTCCTTACTCCAGCCCCATGTTTGGTCTGTTTATCTCCCAGAAGTTCCTTTAACATCAAGGTCTTTAAATCCAAGCCTGACTAGGGCTGGGGAGAATGGAAGAGCTTTAAACATGAACAATACAATTCTCTCCATTCCCATTCCATAAGGATATTAGCAAGCAGACTGACTGTGGGGAGGTTAACATTTAATGCTGGTGTTTTGTCTTTAACCAATTTGTTTAGTTTAAATAATCCCCTAAATTTGAAACAGACACACTAATGCTGAGCAATGTGGGTTTTTTCATGAATAGCATTGCTAAATTTGCCAAATAGTGAAGTATTGGTTGACCCCAAACTAATTTTTTGGATTTTCAGTTTGGCCATGAAACTGAAAGATCCATTGTATCCACAGAGCCCCATGCAGCACATGTTTCATCATAAAAACGTGGCTTTAGGGACAAAGAATTTTGTTAAAATGGCCCAAAGCAGAGGCATTCCCACCCCCATGGCATCAGAAAAAAGAAATGACGACTCTCAATAGGAAATCGTACCCACGTAGAGAGGAGCTCTGAAATGAGAGCTTTCATTTAGTTGCCATGTATTCAAGAGTATCAGCAAAATTAAATTACAAACATCTCATCTACATCTGTCAAATGGGATTCTTTCCATAACCCCTTTGCTGCTGCACCCTGGTGTTTTGGAATCAGACCTTTAAAAGGTGGTTTATGGGTGGCATCTGAAGCTGACGTGGTATATACTGGAGTGCTGAAGTGTTTAAAGGAATACTTGAAGGTTCCCTAGCCTAGAATTTGACCTTTCTGTCCTCCCTCACCTCCTACAAAGTTTGTATTTACTATTTCTGGTGGGCCCATAAGAGAGGAATTATACAAACTTATGTTTAAAAAAGAAAATTAAAGAAAACTATTTTAAATGCTTGTACTAAGAATGCATCTTTCTTCAGTATCTAATACAGCAATTTAACTATGCCTGGCACACAGATACTTCAGGGTCCAGGAAAAACTCTGGGAATAGGAGATCAACAGACTATGCAAACAGCCTTAACAACTCTTAGTATCCTGTAATCATCTTTGTGGTTCACAGTTCTATGTATTATTTAAATATTTGTTTTCTTCCAATAAGTTTGGTAATGCTGTTCCCCACCTTTACAACAGACACAAAATAAAAGGTCAATTTGTGTTGTATGAACATCTTCTGTAAAGAAATCAGCACCACACTTATCAATTACATAGTTGATCTCCAGGTATCACATTTTGACCCTGCATTGCAAATATGCAGCATGGGGAACATTTTTTTGTTCCCAGCATGCCTCTTGCAGTGTCTCAAACTGGTTTAGGATGATGCAAGAGGCACGTGCGCGCTTGCCTGGATGTGCCCAAGGAGATGTTCATGATAGTCTTCAGATCTTACATGTTATTTTCCATCTCCCATAATATTTTTTGCTCCATAGGGTCCTGAAGAAGTCTTCCCATGTAATCACATTACTTCATGCCCAGTTACAGAATTTAAGGGCCACAGTACGTAAAGTATCTAGAAATCATTTTTGCCCTTGTGACTAAGTGCAAATCATTGCATCAGCACATAACTGGTGGGTTGTAAGCTCTAGGGTCTAGGCTGTTGTTGCTAAGTCCGCTTGAGGTGATGACTTGAGGGGTAGCAAGCTGTCACTTGGCTAACCCACCACTAGCTCTGCCTAGATTGCACACTATAGTATTTTTCCACCCTCAAATGTAAGACTTGATCACAGCTAGGCAGAAGCCAGATCTTTAAATCTGATATGAAGGCCTTTCCTGGGATATTTTTAAAGCTTTGAAACAATGCTCCAAGTCTCAGCCAAAGAGAAAGCAGCCAGAAATCTCACAATAAGTGTTAGTATTGGACAGGGAAGAAGGAAGCACCAGAGAGGGTACAGAGAATTGAGAATGGGTTGTAAACAGGCTCACTCTTTGGAAACCCAGGCTGCCATCAGGCTTTCCTAGGAGTGAGCCTGTCCCCAAAATACTGTGGAGAAAGTGGGTTCTTCCATGTTTCTCAGGCCTTCTTGAGTGGCCAAAGCTGTGTAGGGTTTCCCCACGCCAGTCACCTACGGGTTAGTACAGCCACATCCATCTCCTCAATCTCTAGGTGGCCACACCTCATGCTTTTGGCACTGGAAGCTCCAGGTTTTACAATAAACCAATTAATGGGTTTTTCTGAGTATTCCTTATCCTCTCGTGAGTTTTTCACCTATGCCACATCAGTGCCTCCCTTCATAAAGCCCCAGTACAGACCTTTAGGAGGTAGCATAGTCTCTGCTCCAGAAAATTTACTTTCTAAATTTGGTGCAAGTTACAAAATTCAATACCCCTCTGGGTAAAGAAACTGATGAACAGGTTCCCTGGACCTGGGTGCAATGGAGATGCAACACTGCAACATGGTGGTGAGGAGGAGAGTGCTTAACATGCCCATGTCATCATCTCTCACTTGATTTACTCTAGCTGTCTCTCTGCTGGTCATTCTGCTGCTTCCTTAAAACATTTGTAGCTTGTCCCCTGTTCAGGTGACAGAGGATTTATTATTCATTTATCCCAGGACAACAGACAATATATTACTGCTTTTTAATAGCTTTCTGTAAAGCCACATTATAAAACTCTCTCTCTCTCTCTCCCTGGGCTGGTTCAATCTGACCGTTCTCAAATTGATCAGCAGACCATTTTGCCCTGCCAGTCTCCGTGACCCAGTACTGAAAAACAGGTCACTGAATATGGCTCATCCATACATTATATGGCTGTGAACAAGCACTGCCTACCTGCAGGGTCCAGATCTCCAGGCAGGCCTCTATGTAGTTCTGAAAAGCACTTTGAAAAAAATCTTGCGCTGGAGTCTTTACACAATGTTGAGCTGGTACCACACGGGGGTGCTGCAGAAGTGCAGGAAGGAGGTAGTGTTATGTTGCCCAGTTGCAGCCTCTGCTGTGAAGATAACTAGGGAGGAAACACAATATGCAAGTCCAGTATTCAGCTCTGACTAGGTCAGGCTTGCCCATCTTTGCCATTTGACGTTTTCTGTGTGTTCATCCCAAAATGCTACCACAGAGACATTTATGCTAACGTGCATAGTAGCTAGGGATTAAGGAGCATAGCGTAGTTCAAACAGAGGAGTTTCTAATTCCCTGCTTCATAAAGCATTTATTGCTCTTCCTAATTATAACAGAGAAATGTGATCTTCCCTTTTAGTATGGTCAGTCTCTGTAAAAAGACTGTCAAGGATTTTATTTTGTGTGGTTCTTTGAAGGGAAAGTTTTGGTGGCAGAATTTTTTCCTTTAGATTTAATTTGTCCTGAGGAAACATATTAATATAAGTGCATGTTTGGTATTTTCTCTCCCCTCAGCACACTGAAGGCAGCATTTGAGGTCCTAAAACAAGGTAAGTATTTATATCTTCCTTTTTTCCCCCTCCCCACTCTTTTTTAAAATCCTTTTACTCCTTGCTTATTTAAAGGGCCAAGCAGACATTGAAGCGGACAGAAATCTCATACATTCCTTCCCCACTGGGGCAGGGGCTTTCCACTCCAAGAGGCTTACTTCCCTTTATTTATAGCTTCTGCTGCTCTAATCCCCTGTGGGTAACATGGTGGTGATAGATAATCCAAGCAGAAGCCATCCTCCCGCTTCCTCAACTTCACATAAAATTCAACTCCCAAAGGCGCAGAATGCAAACATTGTAAACCACTAGTAGGGTAAGCCTGGCTGTGCTGCATTTCTCTTTCTGATTCCCCATGCTGTTGTATACAGCCTACTTCTCCCCTCCTTTTCCTGAATCTCTAAGAAACTAAAGTGAGAGCCTTTAAACGGTCCTCAGATCAGGTCCCTAAGGTCTCCACGCTGGAAGACATGCAACAGAGAAAGACTAACAGTAAACAGTGTGGTTGGTGGGAAGATGATCATTATATGGATAAGGATGGAAGTTGTAAGTAGAGAGAAAGAGGGGGAAGAGAGATCTGTAAAAACATGAACTGTCTGCAAATGGGACTATGAAGGAGTGAAACACAGGGCAACTAAAAGCATTTGGTAACCAGCTATTTCTCCATCACTGCAGTGTCAGGACAATGGCACTCCCTTGCTTTTACTTATGGCATGGCGTTGGGTGTGGGTGGTATTTCTGGTTTTGTACCTGTGTGTGAGGGGTTGGTGTGGTGACTTTGGGAAAATCAGGTAAGTGGTTAACCACGGACACAGGGCACTGAACTCAATGGCCCAGGAGGCCTCTTCCCATCTTATGTCCCTATTTTCAAGCACCTACAAAGCATGCTCTTAGGCTGCATTACAAGTAACAGTTGCTCTGGCACATGTATGTTGCAGGTCTCATCAAGAGTAGTAGGAAGGGTCCTGTAAAGGCATTTATAGGATCATAATCTGGGTAGATGATGAGCAAACCCACCACAAGACCATGGACATGTGAACAGAGTAAAATTCCAGGGATAACCCTAAAGCAAAATCACACAAACAAACATGCTGTGTATTGAAAGGGAGGTAATTGAAATCATGAGAAAATTGCCCCCCGATTCATCCAGGATGAAATTTTCTACCATTAACTACCTTGTTTGTTGGGATTGGATTGCATTATGTTTTGCTGCTTTTTATTTTTTCATCAGCCCAATTTGCCATGGCAAATCATTAATTCCTGCTGCCTTCCAGTGTGTATCCTGCTGAAAAGGTTTGACCTTTTACTTATTAAAGGCCTCTCCGCTGACTATCAATTCTGATCTATCTTAGAAATTGAAAATGTTGGAAACTCACATATTCAGCTGGCAGTAATGCTGAGGGATGAACTGAAAAGAATAGAGGAGTTCAGAGAAAGACAGAAGGAGCAAAGAAAAAAGGTGAGGAACCACGAGAACCTTCATACCAAATCAAACCAATGGTGTAGTACCCTGTCTGCAGCAGTGGGGCTCTGGATGCTCCAGAGGATGATAAAACACCTCCCAGTGCTCCTAGCTAACTCTGCAGTGCTGTACTAAGGGGGAAGATCTCTGTCTGATCCCAGCTGGTGATTATGTCCTGAACTCTGAAAACAGAGAGCCTTTGTTACTTTTACTCTCTACCTAGAATAACTGCAGATGCTATTCTTATTCCTGTAAGTATTTAATCCTTCTTTTTTAATCCTTGCTATGTGGTTTGCCTCAATAATATTTTACAGAAATACTAAATACACAGAAATTAAAGCAACAGTAAAATTGTAAACCTTGTATTGAATTCATTGCCTAGATAGTAGGATGAGGCACACAGTAGAAATACCTTTAATAAATGGTATTTATCAAATTATTACTATATAAACAATACAAACACGTTCATGCAAGCTCTCTTCTCCTTTAGTCCTCTCAGATTCAGGATCCTTTGAGCAAGGAATTTGCTGATGGAGGCAGCTGTGGTAATTCTTATACCCTGGGCATGTCTACCCATGTGCTCCACTGTGCAGTTGGTTCTAGCAGTCTCGGTGGCACATGGGTCATTTCCAATGTTGCCATAGCATCTCACGTAGATACACTCACTTCGTGGTTCAATTTAGGAGTAAATAAAAGGGATGGCCACCCAGTCCTGGAAAACAACAGCTGTTTGTAGCAGCCACACCAAATTTCCAAATCCCACTTTCTTTAAAAGAAGGGGAAAGAAATTCAGGTAATGCCAAGTGTACCTTCTTCCATTCTGTAGTCCATGACAGAGGAACACAGAAAAGTGAGGCACCCTGAAACTGGGGAGCAGGTTAGCATCAGCCCAGCCCCACTCCCAACAAAACTGCTGCCCAGCTTTCAAGACCCACTTCTGCCTCATAAAACCCATTCAATTTAGCACAGCTCCTTGTTTAGTTCATCAGTATTTTGCAGCACCCTCCTCACTCATTTGACTAACAGGAATCCTGCAAGTAGCTTTTTAAAAAGAGTTAATCTGTATTTCAAGCCTTTAGCCCACAATTCAAAAGAAACATTTAAAAAAGAGACTGGGAAGAGGAAAAGAACTTGCCTGAATTCTAAATATGCACTGCAGGTTTTTCTTTCAGTCACCCACGTGGCTGCTGAGAAACTCATGCTAGGAGCTGGTGCCAGCATTTCTAGTGATCTCCCAAAGTGCAGTGATTTGTATTTAGACTGGCTCCGCAGCAGCAGTCAGGACTGCATCATTTGGCCCTGCTGGCACCTAGGAGAGGCAGTTCAAAGACTGCAGGATTAGATTCCCTTCCCCAGTGAGGAAACCCTTATCCCTGCATTCTTCTGATATCACTGATGAGATCAGTACAGAAGCCAAGGAATGTGAGGAGAGATGGCATTATATACACTGAGATTTCATATTCTGAAAATAAGACTGTCATGGGGGAAGGGTGAGAGAGATCTGCCTGCCTGATAGCAAAGCATCGCACTTAAGCTTCCAGCTGGGAGTTATCAACCAACCTAAATTTCAAAGAAAGCATGTAACAATGTCTTTTTAAGCTAAGAAAGTGATGTGCATGGAAGCACATAATCATTTGGCAGAGATGAAGTGATACCTTATTAATCTGAAAGGAATTATTCAAGCCCAAAACTCAGCAAGGTGCAACACAAGTTTGCCTCCACCAGTGGTTCTCAACCTTTTTTAAATTGACGGCAGCCCTTGTTAGAGTCCAGCACCGCCCCCCCCGAAAATGTCAGCTCTTAGCTTCCACTCTTTTTTTGGTGATGGGAAAAATACTAGAGCAGTTCTTCTGTTGCAGAGAACTCAGAAAAACCACAGCAGGTTTTTGACACTATGGATTCATATTTGCTATCTCTGGGTTTATCTAATGAATCATGTGCAGGTGTTTGTAAACCTAACAGTACTAATATTACATAGCACCCTGCAGCACCCTTTAAAAAGATTGCATGGCACTGCAGAGTGCTATGGCACTCTGGTTGAGAGCCACTGGCCTACACAAACCCAGCCACAGCTCCAGATCCATTTCCAGCAGTTGTGCTTATACAAGTGAATTCTTTGAGCACAGCTAATGGACAGGGAGAGTGTGTGTTGTGCTACTTAAATTTCATTTAAAAAAAAAAAGAAAAGAAAAGAACGAGAGAGATAAACTAAAGACCCACATTCTTTTAGCTATTAATGGATGCCACTGAAGCAGAATTGTTCTAGGGAATTGTTCCTTGTGTGTTGGCCACGCTAATGTGCTCTGTGTGATTTAGAAGTGTGTCAGTTACAAAAGCAACTCCAAGTCATTTTCCCTATGGCCGTGTACTCTTAGACATGCTTCAACAATTCTTCTCATCCTGCCACTAAAAAAAGGAGAAATACTTAGTCCCGTGTGTTTCTTACAGTACGAGTCTGCAATGGATCGTGTGCAAAAGAGCAAGCTGTCCCTTTATAAGAAAACTCAGGAGGTAAGTTATGAGGTTTAGTATACATTCATCCAAATCCAAACTGGTTAAATAGGGGTGGGGCTGCAACTAGCACCCAGACACAATAATTTAAAGGAAAGTCAAGAAATTATGAAATTTAAGTGAAAAGATGAGATTCCAATCATAGATTTCATAGATTTCTAGGGTCAGAAGGGACCTTGTAGATCATCATTCCAACCTACTGCTCTGGGCAGGAAAAAGTGCTGGGGTTAAATAAGTCTTTTTTTAAATACATAGGGAGTAAAAAGAAAGCACTGGGTAATCTGGGGCCCCTGCAGGACACGCTTGGAAATCTGGTGGTTGCACCAGATGAAACAGCTAACCTCTTTAACAAATTCTTTGCCTCTGTTTTTCTGAGCAGGGACCGAGACATCTCCCCTCTCCCCCCAACTGGAATTCCAGATGGACTCAGGAGAGGCACCGCCAGGCCTAGGGTCAGGGAGGACCTAATTAGGGAACTTCTGGCGGGGCTGGACAAGTTCAAATCAGCAGGTCCAGATGATTTCCACCCCAGGGTGCTGCGGGAATTGGCAGGGCTCATTGTGGGGCCCCTGGCACGGCTTTACGAGCACTTGTGGTGCTCTGGCCAGGTGGCAGGGGACTGGAAAAGGGCCAGTGTGGTCCCCATTTTCAAAAAAGGGAGGAAGAAGGACCCAGGTAACTATAGGCCCATTAGTCTTACCTTGGTCCTGGGGAAGCACTTTGAGAAAATTATCCAGGAGCACATCTGCAAGGGACCAGTAGGAGAGATTATGCTCAGGCGAAACCAACATGGGTTCATTAGGGGCAGGTCCTGTCAGACCAACCTGGTTGCCTTTTACAATCAGGTCACAAAATCCTTGGACACAGGTGTTGCAGTGGACGTAGTCTTTCTGGACTTTAGGAAGGCCTTTGACACCATCTCTCACCCCATTCTCATTAAAAAACTCGGGGACTGAGGCATTGATGTCTACACAGTCAGATGGGTCACAAATTGGCTAGAGGACTGCACCCAGAGAGTGGTGGTGGACAGGTCATTTTTGACCTGGAGGGATATGGGCAGTGGGATCCCCCAGGGCTCGGTCCTTGGGCCCATACTTTTCAATATCTTTATCAGCGACTTGGATGAAGGGGTAAAAATCACCTTGTTCAAATTCATGGATGACACTAAGACGTGAGGAGAGGTGGGCACGCTAGAAGGGAGGGACAGGCTACAACTAGATCTGGACAGGTTACAGGGGTGGGCAGATGAGACTAGGATGGGATTCAGTACTGACAGGTGCAAGGTACTGTACCTAGGGAGAAAGAACCAGCACCATACCTACAGGCTGGGGAACTCCCTTCTTGTCAGCAGAGGCAGAAAGGGATCTTGGAGTCATTACTGATTCCAAGATGAACATGGGCCGCCAATGTGAGGACACGGTCAGTATGGCTAACCACACTTTGTCATGCATCCACAGATGCATCACAAGCAGGTCCAAGGAGGTGATCCTCCCCCTCTATGCAACA